ATTCTTGAATCGATTTTGTTTGACAATCCTCATAAGGCTGCGGTTCTCTCGGTTGGTTGTGCGTCTTTTTCTTCCACACTTTTTCCTTCCACTCAACTTTGTGTTAACATGCTTGGATACAGCACTCTGTGAACAGCCAGCTTCTTTGGCAATGAATGTTTGTGGCTTACCCTCCTTGTGAAGGGTGTCAATGATTGTCTTCTGGACAACTGTCAGATCAGCAGTCTTCCCCATGATTGTGTAGCCTAGTGAACCAAACTGAGAGGCCATTTTGAAGGTTCAGGAAACCTTTGCAGGTGTTTTGAGTTGATTAGCTGATTGGCATGTCGCCATATTCTAATTTGTTGAGATTGTGAATTGGTGGGTTTTTGTTAAATGTGAGCCAAAATCATCACAATTAAAAGAACCAAAGACTTAAACTACTTCAGTCTGTGTGCACTGAATTTATTTAATACACGAGTTTCACAATTTGAGTTGAATTACTGAAATAAATGAACTTTTCCACAACATTCTAATTTATTGAGATGCACCTGTATTTATTATTAATATTGCTTTGTAATTTTTTCATTACTATTTTTGAGACTTTAATTGAGAGATAGGTACCTGTTAATGATAAGCGAGGGTCATAAGATCAGGAAACATCCCGAGTAAGATTCAAACTCATGTTACCCACATAAGCATAATGTGCCAACCTCTAGCTCCGACCCAATATTAATCAAGAAAAAAACACTAAACGAATATCAAAAAGAAAATAGTCTAAAGAGCTCCCTTGTTCTTGAGGCCTTACCAAACTCCTTTCGAATGAAGTCCTCTTTTTCCTCCTGAATGGCAATTTTGGGGATGGGAGTACATCCAGTGGTCATGCTGCGCTCCAGGATTCCTTCAGCAGAGTCATCTGAGACATCAAAGAGAAGGTAAACGTTTGATCTGGGCTCAAGTCAATCTCAAACAACTCACACCAGCCAAAATATCAATCACAACACAGATGACAAAGTTTGCAGATAGTCTGAAAGGATTGCTAACAATGCCAAACAATAGCAAGCAGTGTTTTGTCTGTCTGAAAAAAGTGCATCATCCCCAGCGCCCTCGTCAGTGATCATGACACTAAAACACAGACATGCCAACGTGACCATGAAGACACAACACCGTGTGCAGCGCAGAAAATGAGTTCACAAATTTACAAATGCATGTAGTTTCTGAACATGCACACACTCTTACAGATGTCAGTGCAAGAAAGATGTTTTATTAATAAAAAAATGTCTTAAACAGCACTTAAGCATGTATGCATCCACCAATGTGTCATGGCATTATGAAATGATACATACAGAAACACTAAAGGTTGACCTCTCGATCTCATGACAAGCTAAAGCAAGCTGACAAGTTAAAAAAAATATTCAATTAATTGAGTTTTAATTGGCATGTGGTCAATATATATATCTTATCTTATGCAATTTTAGAGGATATCTACATAATGACACACCAGCCCTCTGGGAAGAACAACCACAGCTGAGATTTCTTTAATATCTCAATTGTTTCTCCTGGACAATAATATTTAACAGAGAGCAAACTGACATTTTTATAATCTCGTATATGTTCTCAGAAGATCTACTGTAAACTATTACAAATCATGCTCAGATTTGCAGAGATTAAAGGGGTCATGACATGAGAAACCAATTTTTTCTTAATCTTTTGATCTCTTGTACCAAAGAGGTCTTTGTATGCTCAATACATCCTGCAAGTTTCATAACTTAAAATGTCCTCATCACCAATTCAAATAAGCATTTATTTAATAACCCATAAGAAAATGTTTCATTTGGATCCGAGGTGCAAGGTGACATCACCCGGGTGCAGTCGATTGCATATGACCGCCTCCAGTGCAAAACATCGACAAATAGTCATCTTCTAACCACAGGCCCTCAAGGAACATATTAAAATAATTGTGTCATGACCCCTTTAAGAAGTCTACAATCAAAAGTAAGAGATTTCATTTTTGAACTCAAATAGTTATCAAATTCATTCAAAACTAAATTATCTGAGCTAATTTTTACTGTATGTCAAGAATCATCTCATTTAATTCTGTTTTAGAAAATTCAGGAGAAACATCTGAGACAAAGTTACTATGGATGAAGCATAATTAAAACCCAATTAAGTCTCCTGAGCTCTGAAAGAGCAACTTCTGAGCTACGAAATTTTCCACTGCAAGTCACCAACTCGTAATGCAACAAAAAACTGAGATGCAAATGTTGGAGATAGCCACTTTAATACAGCTACAGCTGAAGGAAGACCTCACAAGAAAAGGAAAACAGTTGTACAGACCATGTGACAATTCAAATTTATGAAAAGTAAAATCCACTGTATCACTCTAGATAAACTTTAGATGTTGGGTCTTAGTACAGACCCAGTGTTTAGTCCTCATAGCACACACTGATAATTGTGGGCGCCATTTGTCCTTGTGTTGTTGTTTAAATTTACAGTCAAACACACCACAAGGTCAGCTCCACAAAGATCACAAACAATACCATAGTCACACAAGGTCCACGGAACGCAAGCCCAAGAGCTCGGGGACCACAGTCACATGCGGTGCAGTGTGGCATACACTCACAGGTCAACAGGACGGAAGGAAGCGCAGGCAGGGCCGCCGGTTATCCGTCAGAAAGAGCATGGGAGGAGAGGAAGGGGGACATGAGGGGAGTAACATTGGTGAGATTCAACCAGATCTCCCTAACCAAAAGAATCACTTTGTCTCAGTCCTCCAAACGTCCAGGGCATAGCTTCAAAATAACACATACTCAATGTTTCCTGTGCAAAATACAAAGTCAACGGACAACAAGTATAGAACACAAATACGGACTGTGGACGCATAGAAGATGGCAGTATGGTTCAAATCATCGAAAGAAATGGATTGTGACACTGAGAAGGCCATAGTCTAGTTAGCTAGAAAGGCAGGTTACTTGAGATGGGACATACAGAAGGGGAGATGGTCACTTGATATTGGACATACAGTATAGTTCAACATGTAAGAGCTGAGGACACAGTGTCTTAAAAAGTGGTTCTGTCTTCATCAGGACACCCTAAACCTGCTCCAGAGTGGGACAATTTTCAGTTCATACTGAAATTCAAATGTATTAATTCACAAAATGTTTAATTCTGTCATTATTTACTCACTCTCATGTTGTTTCAGAACCAGAAGACAGTGTTCATGGAACACAAAAGGAGATGAGCCAATGAGATACAGTATAGAAGAGAAACGTTTTTTGAGATACCTTTTTTTTGACGTCTATTATATATTTTATTTGGATATAAAATGTCATAACTTTAACTTTTGGTGAAATTACAGACTTCACTCTGAAGAAACAATTCCCTGCTCTATGTTTCTATTTCTTTTTCAGTTTTAATTCTGTCATTATTTACTCACTCTCATGTTGTTTCAGAACCAGAAGACAGTGTTCATGGAACACAAAAGGAGATGAGCCAATGAGATACAGTATAGAAGAGAAACGTTTTTTGAGATACCTTTTTTGACGTCTATTATATATTTTATTTGGATATAAAATGTCATAACTTTAACTTTTGGTGAAATTACAGACTTCGCTCTGAAGAAACAATTCCCTGCTCTATGTTTCTATTTCTTTTTCAGTACACCGTTACACTTGGATGTACATCACAATACAGAAGAAAAGATCTGTCACTATATCTTAAATTACAACTTTAATGACTCTAAATATGTCATGTGGTGTAGCCATCAAGTAAAAAGTTGTAACATATTTTCCTTACACTTTTCATACATGTATTTAGGGCTCCTCTCTTTGATAATGTCATGTTTTTTTTTTTGTCCTGTATATTTCTTCATGTTGTTTGCACTACATTATTTCACATATTTGTGTGTGTGTAATAAATATATAAGACATGATTAGATTAAAGATTATGATAAACAGTCTAATGCATTTTTTACATTTATAATGTACAATAATTTTTTTTTAAATATAGCACATTCTATTTGACGCTTTGATGTATGGCTTCAGATATAGCTGATTAATATAGTCATATGGACTATTTTATTATAATCCCATTGTTCTTTTTGTCTTTTTTTGGAGCATCACACACACTTTCCTTTTAGAGAAAAGAGCAGCTTGGAAATTCTTCAAAACATCTCCATTAGTGTTCCACAGAAGGAACGAAGTCACATGGGTTTGGAACGACATAAGGTTGAGTAAATGGGGACAGATGCTTAATTTCAGGGTGAACTATCACTTTGATACTAGCACATACTGACACTGGAAGACCCAGGTGCATCCGGTACAGTGCAGCCACAGTGAATGCTCTCAGAACAGCAGTGTTGCTGAGGAAGCCAAAAGAAAAACGGTAATTCAGTGAGGAGGGTGGCTACAGGCTAGGCTGGTGACTTTGTGATCCTATGCTGATGCAGTAGCCCTCAGCAAGATCTGTCCAGTACCTACCAGGTGGACCTGGCTGCCGCCGTGAATGAGGCGGAGTGCGAGAAGGGGGCGGGCTGCAATCGGATGGACTGTGCTGCTGCCTCAAGAATGGACTGTCCAAGCGGCCTGGTAAACGGGAGACAGGACCATCGTGCGGGACACGCGGACACCCACGCACACACAGAGTGACGTACACAGGTGTGACAGAGGAAGACCAGACCAGATAGACAGGAGGAGAGAAATCCAGGGATAGAGAGGGGAAGAAATTTGTATAACAGAGAAATGATCAAAGAAATAGAGAGGCACGAGTTCAAAACAGAAGCAATGGTGGATGTGCAGCAGTTGGGTAGAGGTTAAATAAGATCCAGGATCGTCAGAAGGATAGATGGAATGGACAGAATATCGAAACGGAAATCAAACAGATGTGTTAACAACCAAAAGGATGGAGTGAGCAGAAGAAAAGAAGAAGAAAAAGAAATGACCAAGAAATGGCGAGAAAAAAGTGAGGTAGAAGGAGAGAGGTAAGAGAACAGTTGTTAGTGTGATGGTCTCACACCCTCTGAACATAAAGCATCAGTTGTTTCAGTGTCTGTACCCTTCGACAACAGATGGTAGTGAAGAGTTTGACTTTCACTCCAACACTGAAAAGTCTAAGATCTTAAATAAACAATGAAATGGCATAATCATCCAGTAATAATATTGCTCAGTCTGTTGGAAAATTGCACCAATATAACATTTTTGACAATAAAGCAATCCTTGCTTCAGCATCCCTGCTGAAAATTTTTTAAATCCCTACTTAAACTATCCTATGGTGGTTTGCTGGTTTAAGATGGTATATCTCAGTCATAGCAGTCCTTGTTGGAAATTTCCAGTCACTTTTTTCAGCAAGTATTGAAATCATTGATTTACTCAACTTCTAATAGGTACACCTGAAGCTGATGTGAAAAAGTTGAAAATAAGCTGAAACAAAACATGTTCTCAACTAGTCACTTTAGTAAGAAATAACATCCGTTAGTGAGCTCTATGACTTAGGCAAAGCACAATTATCAAACTGATTACAATAGAGTTTGCATGTTGTTAGCATGTTGCTAAGCTATTATGCTTAATATTCTATTAAGCATAATACATTAGTACACAGAAATGTTAGGTTTTTAAAACTGTTATTATTATTATTAGATTGCACTATTTGTTTGAATCAAAATGACCAGCTGGAGGTGGTTTAATCTGATTTTAGTTGGTTTAACTAGTCTCCCAGCCTAGCTAAACTGTTGTTGGCCACAATGAGACGTCTTAGTAAATCAAATTAACTATGAACATTTATTATAACATTTGAATAATCTGTCTCTCTATACTGTATATCCATCAATCCATTATCCAAAAATTAAAATATAAACTTTGATACATAATTCAAAACGGCTTACATTAATTGTTGGGGCTATATGAAGTTTAGATCCTCTTTAACCTCTGTTCTCTATATAAATATATAAAGGTATATCTATCTACATAATTTAACTGTCTATGAACCTAACAAATCTGTCATGATGATTCAGAGCAGAGATTTCAGCACATTCTGAGACAGATGGTCTCTCCTGAGCTGTGCTGTTTAATTCACTTAAATGACAGATTGAGAGACAAGTGAAGAGCAAGAAGCAGGACAAACAAAGGCTTAGGATTTAGCATATATGCCCTCCTCCTTCTCTTCTCCTCCCTTTTAATATGATCTTACCGGTCCTGTGCGTGGTGACTGGTGAGATGTCCACGCTGTTGGCTGTGGCCCTCTCTCTCTGCTTGAAGAATTCCCGTGGGTTACTTGGCCTTTGGGCAATGATGGCTGCCGCTTCCTATAAACATATTAACACGGGAAAACAAGGTGAAACATAATATATATGGTTGGTGGGTGGGTGGGTGGGTGGATGGATAGAACCAGTAATACATGTTGTGACAAATAATAACTACAAGTAAGAATAATTTTTTTGGTCCGTTCTCAGACTGAAGATCCTATTGACTGCACATGCACAGAAACACAATGTCTTGAAATAGCATTAGGAATCCCACTGACCCACATGTAAACCCCAGCAGAATATCTGTCATCATAACAAAAATCTGCCCCACATTTGAGTTTGTTAGGGTCAGAATCTGTTCTCCTTTTGAAAACACTTATCTGAGAAATGAACCGATGCTGGAGTGGCCTTACAAGCTCTGTTTCAACCCACCTGAACCTCTGTTTCCTTTTTGTCCAGGGCAAGGTCTTCATAGCTGGGCTCCGTCTGTGAAGTGGATGAACGCACTTATTTATTTCCAGCAGGGGGCAGCAAAAACTTTTTCTTTAAAATAACAGTTAAATGTGGGTTACTTCACTTGCATTTGTCTGTAACTTATTTACTTTACAAATGATTAGTGTAATAAATCAGATTTTGTGTAAATACTTTTGAAGTCCGTGTACTGCCCAAACATCCATTTATCAATTTATTACAGGACAATATTACTGAAGACACATGAGTCATAGGTCATCTTTACCTTCTGGTTAAAACCCATAAACCATCAAGCATTCTGTAAATGATTCAAGCCATAAAAGCATCTCTTAAAACACCAAACCTGGTTTACTGTATGTAAAGCATACGCACTCTTACAATCAAGGGTTGATTCCTTGACCTCTCTTTGGCCTCTTCCTCCTCCTGCATCTTCTTCCTGTGACCACGTATATAAACACAGATAGCATTATAATCATGTACGGCTGAGGGTCATCAGTGTTGGCCACTGTGGCACCATTCCTACCTCTGTTCCTCGATCTGCCGCTCCCTCTCATGGTAGCGCTTCTCTCTTTCCTCTTGCTCTTTTTTTTCCAGCTCCATCCTCTCCGCTTCAAAGCGCTGCCGTTCCTCCGCAGCCTTCTTTCTCTCTTCCTCCTTTCTCAACTCCTCCTCCCGCTTTAAACGAGGAACATGTCATTAAAACATCAATGAAAGATTTTACAGCATCACAATAACATTTACACTTATTATTTTTCCTTATTTCATTTATATTGTATGCATTTGGTTCCACATTTCAGTGGATACAAATAGATCTAAACATTATAGAACGCAATACTCTATTTTGTGCACAAACACTAAATGATAAAAGCCTCCATTTGAACTTTTTCCACAGCAATTTGCAGAATGTTTCTTCAACTAGAAGAATTCTAGGATTTTTATGAACCAGCAATGTGTCATTTTCAACACACCTTTAACTATTTATTTAGTTAAATAAAATGTTTTAGTGAAAATAACATTTGTAACATTTATGTATAAATAAGACTCTCTCTTGCTTATAATTAATATTGCAAAATTACAGTATGGTTGGAAAATGATACACAACAAATAGTCTGTTGTGATATTTACATAGATTTTTTTTTTCATATATGTCTCAAATTGATCTACACTGGGCAAAAATGTATCTACCTTTTATAAAACATTATCGTGCAACATTATTGTTGTTAGTGGTGACAATAACAGCCATACGTTTGGTAAAAATCAACATAGATATGTGACCCTGGACCACAAAACCAGTCATAAGGGTCAATTTTTTGCAATTGAGATTTACACATCACCTGAAAGCTGAATAAATAGCTGAATTAAAAGCTTTCCATTGATATAGGGTTTGTTAGGATAGGACAATATTTGGCTGAAAGAAAATCTGGAATCTGAGGGTGCAAAAAAAATCTAAATATTGAGAAAATCTCCTTTAAAGTTGTCCAAAAGAAGTTCTTAGCAATGCATATTGCTAATCAAAAATTAAGTTTTGATATATTTACGGTAGGGAAATTGACAAAATATCTTCATGGAACAATATCTTTACTTTACTGATCTTTACTGATTTTTGGCATAATTTTTTACTTAGATTTTTGACCCACACAATGTATTTTTGGCTATTGCTACAAACACACCTGTATAGTTTTGTGGTCCAGGGTCACATATTTCCCACTCGGTAAATATTACCTTTTTATATTTTACTGTTAAGATTATCATAGTTTTCAAATAGAGCAATGTTTTTATAACAGATTTTCACCAATAAGGACTGAAATCTGTACATAAAGAATGTAGTAGTAGGTATGGTAAAAAGTTTCCAAGACACACCAAGAAAGTTTTAATAAAACCCCTGAGACATAAAAGTTAGTACCCAGTTAGTACAATTTTATTGTGCTACGAGAATGTAGAAAGTATTCTACTTAAGCTGCTAGCAAATTAATGGTATCAAATAAATCTGACAGAACCACTTCCTCATAATGTTAAAACAAAGACACTAGTCAGCTGAGCCGTCACATTGTGTGCTAGACTACAGTGGTTCACACCGCCATCCTGAAGAGTCTCGGATCAAGCATCTTTGCATCAGAAAGCCAAAGGAATCAAATTGCTACCTTGGCTTGTTCCCAGAACTCCTCTCGATTGATTTTCTTCATCTCGATCTCTGCATTTGTTTTCTGGTAGGTGGTGCCCTGCGGTCAAGAGGAAAGGGGAAGTGTGAGTACTGGCCATTTTAATTGGATAGCTAACTAAGGACAAAGATGTTGATCTAAGGGAGGCACTATAGGGACCGTTTGTTTCTTCTCCAAACATAAAATCAGCTAGAAAGCACACACACACACACACACACACACAAACACAAAAAGGTAACACTTTACGTTATTGTTTTAATTTGACTAGCAAAAATTAACAAATAATGAACAATACCGTGTTAATAATTGTTTAATCTAATGGTAATCTACAGCATTTATTATTATTATCTTAGTTATTGTTAATTTCAAAATGTAATAATTCATTTTTTTTTTATCAAAAGTTGTATCTGTTAATATGAGTTAATGCACTGTGAACTAACATGAACAAACAATGAAAAATTTTATTTTTATTAACTAGCACATTATTAAATGCTGTAAAAATGCTGTTACTTCATGTTAGCTAATGCAAATAATGGGACCTTATTGTAAAGTGTTACCACTGTCTGAAAGGTGTCAAATCTGGCTTTGAGATTACATTACACTTCATGCTTGAATTGGTTTGGCTGAAACGCTACGATACGATACACTAATACAAAATTTTAGGGTTTACAATACTTGTAAAGACGTCATTCAGATAAGTGAGCAAAACATCCGGAAGGATCTTGGTTATTTTAAAAGTGTGTGAATCAACTCAGTGTTCTCAGTGAAACAATCATTGTTTCAGTTCCTCTGTATCAACAATGCGGCTCTAAGAGCTCTTTCCTCTAAAAACAGTAACAAGGCTGTGTCCTTGTGTCAGACATCACACTATTAGAGAGCCATTCACAGACAGCTTGATTTGACCCCTTTCCAGTAGCGTCCGTATGCACGTAAACAAGCCCACACACACACACACACACCGGCCCCCTCTTTCAACCCTTAAGCAGCCCTTCTGTCACCAATCACGCACAACGTGCTCCGCGTTCTCCTCGTCTCTCATTCGCAGGCGGCTTAGCACTGGACTGGCCACTGGAGCCGTCCCATTGGTCAGCCTCTGTCCAATGGCTGAGGGGTCGATGTCGTCCATGCTGCTAGCGTTCACGATGACGTCAACACCCTGGAGAGAGAAAAAGAGCATCAGTAGTACTGCTGCACACACACTCACATCACCTGGCAACCAGCATCAACCGCGCATTTAAATGACGAGCACTTTGTTAAGTCACTATGGAGTGTCAGACAAAAGAAGAAAGTCACAAAAGCATCAGGCTACTCCAAAAGGCATCAGTGGTGCTAGAAAGTTTCCTAAAACTTTTTCTGAGTCTCCTTGTCCCATGACTTGCGAGTATGAGAAAATGGATATGTTTAAAAAGTGTTTCTGAATTAAAGTTCAGTAGCACAAATCACAAAGTGTTGGTAATTTCAATTCATTTCTGTGAATCAGTTCAAACTGTCTGTTCAAAGGGACTGGTTCAAAATGACTCATTTGTGCCATTTATTTTTAAAAAAAGTGTTTTTAGAGTTGTTAAGTCTGATTGATTTGTTGCTTTCAAATCTCTGTTGTCTTATTCAACTGAAAAACGCTAGGAAATATTCCCTTCTTTCTCAATTTTTATACTGTATTGAGGCTTTTATGTATTCAGCTCTGTCTGACTGGAATCTTCTTCAATCAAAATTGAAATTACAAAATTTGCCGTCTTTGGAACATTTTAAAATGGTTATTCAGCAATTGGAAGATGATTCAATGATGTAATTGTTTTAAGTATTTTTAGTTTGCTTTTGTTTTGTAAATCTGTGATGAAACTTGTTGTATTGCTGACCATTTTGGCCAGAACACTCTTGTGAAAAAATGTTTTAATGTTAGAGGGGTTACCCTCACTGTATAAAATTACCGTGAATTTAACGGTAAAAGACTGTAAAAATGCTACAGTAAAAACCTGTTAAATGGTTAACGGTAAATTCTCCTACTATATACGGCGAAAAACTGTGTTGGACATTACATGTATTGGACATTAATTTTACGGTAGTATACCATTTTTGGAAGTAAAAAAGATATACATGTTATTATTTAAAAGCTGCTTGTGATGGGCTTTGGTTCATCATGTGACTTTCTCACCACCATCTGCATTGGGTGGTTATCAGTGTATTACAAAGGTACAAAACAGATTTCAGTACTTCAATAAGGTTGGTATATTAACATTATATCAGTTAATGAAATTACGGTATTTAACTGTAAATTAAAGTTAAAACCGTAAAACCTAAAACGTTGCTACCGTATTTTTTATGGTATAATTCCGGCAACCACAGCTGCCGGTTTTTTACCGTAAATTTAGCAGATTTTTTTTACAGTGCTGGTTAAATAAAGGTTAAATGAAAAAAAAAAGTAATTTAAGAGCAAATACACACATATCAAGATGTATAGGCTAATAAAAATATATATTTTTCTGGCTACAATGCCCTTTAAAAATGCTAGTTATTAATGTAGAAGACAGGTGGCACTATAACAAAATCTACACTACAGTTTAAAAGTTTGTGGTCAGTAAGATTTGCAATGTTTTTAAAGTCGTCTCAACAAGGCTGCATTTATTTGATCCAAAATACAGCAAAAACTGAAATATTGTGAAATATTATTACAAATTAACATGCAATTTATGCCTGTGATAGCAAAACTGAATTTTCAGCAGCCATCAATCCAGTGTCACATGATCCTTCAGAAATCATTCTAAAATGATAATTTGGTGCTCATGAAACCTAACCGCAAATATATTTGTGAAACCATGATACATATATTTTTAGGATTCTTTGATGAATAGAAAGTTGATTTGTAATAGAAATCATTTGTAGCATTATCAATGCCATTTTTGATCAATTTAATGCAACCTTGCTGAATTAGTGTTAATTTCTTTAAAAAAAAATCTTTCTAACCCCAAACTTTTGAACAGTAGTGTATATTATTAAATCATCAATCATATTAATGAAAGAATGAGTTCAGACTAACTATGTACAGTACAGTACAGTACAGTATGTACATATAAAGCGATAACTGTGAATGAGTACAAATGATGAGAAAAATAAGAAGTGAATGCAATTAGGCTTTTCATTCAGTATAAAACGGGTCTTCAATGTGCTTGTAAGCACACAAGAGCGTTTGTGTGAGCATCACAGCATACTGAGCTGGACCTCTAACTAAGCTTTTGTAAGAACATCAAACAACCGACTATATCTAGTTCATGTGTGTTCCTCTAACACCGCTACATGAATGCTGCCATCAGTCTTTTCAGTAGCTCAAAAAGAGCAGCCGACGAGTTGACTGGCACTTTAGATCAATTCATTCCTGATAGCAGCGTCTCTCTTTCAGCCCAAAAGCATAATCTCTGTGGCGGCCTTGGTCGTCTCACTGATGTTTCATCGTGGAGTTTCTCTACCTCAATACCTCTATTCTCTCTCTCTCCTTTTCTCGCCCACGCACCCACATTGAAGAGATTGAGAGATTTGAAAAGGCGAGCGGCCCCTTCATTCAGATCCCTCACACCGACAGACACTTCCAAAACAATAGCCCTGAAGAGGACCGTGCTAGTCATCTAGAAACATCTTCTGCTGTTAGGTACATACACACATGCAGCAAACCCCCCAAGACTCTTTGGCCCACCCACATGACTTGTGATTTACTCTTATCTGCTGGAGCACAGGACTGAATTGCAGCAGAGCTAAAGAGGCATGCTGTTCAACAAAGCCATACAGCAAATCGAAACAACAACAGACGAGATGGTGGTTTTGAAAAGCACTAAAAACAGTATGTTAGAATTCATGCGTTATGAGTCAATGTTTGAAATTTACACTTCAAAACAACTTCTGAAAAACACCAATTATGTTTCAATGGGTGAATTTCACGAAAACAGGTCCAGGTCCGCTTTTTTTTTCTTTTTTTTCACTGATAAGAAACAAAATAAAATAAAAATGGAATTTTAATGCATACACTGTAAATAAAAATGAATAATGTTTAAAAAAATTATTCAATTTATTATTCATTTTATAATTTATTTTACGAAAACATGTCTAGATTTTTAAAAAATTTTCTTATTAAGGTATTTCACAGATAAAATAATTAAAAAAAACATTAATTTTATGCATATGATGCAAATATAAATGAACAAAAAACAATTTGTTCAATATAATTTTACATGTGTTTATTTAGTAAAACAAAAACTGTGTAAACAACACTTTACACAAAATTATTATGTATTGTTTTCTTTTTAAGGTCACATTTCACTGAAAAAATTATTATTTTGTTTTACAGTACATAATAGTAATAAGAATGAGATTTTTTTGAGCATGTGCATTACTATGAGAATTAATCAGAATTAGGTTAAAACATGCTTAACTGTCACCAAAATAATGTCACAATGAGTCAAAGTAAAAATGAAAATAAATAAATGAATGATTAAAAGTGATGGTACAATACAATCTTTTGAACAATCTCCAAAGTATAACTTCTCATTTCTTTGATTTGATTTTATGGTGACCTCAACCTGCCCTGGACCAGGTTTTATGAGATTCACCCCAACACTAACAAAGAAAATAGCTTTAGATGAATCACATTTCCCTTTCTTCAGTCAGTTTTCAAAGAAAAGTGACAAAAAATGACTTTGAAACCTAACAGCTAACTCTCCTCGCATGCTCAGAGCAGAGATGGTGTGAAAATGACAGTGACAGCGGAGTCATGTGTCTCTGAAATGGATTATTACCTAATTTAGAAGAGAAGTAAAAGATGTTCGTTTTACCTTGGGGAGACCCACCTGGAAAAACTCGGCTATGGTGGCTACATGACTGGCACAGGCACACTTCCTGGCATCAGGCACATCTTCACCAACCTGAACACACGTTGTCATACATGTGTTTATTCAACTGTAGAGTATACATAAAAAAAGTCTAGCACACTTCAGAGTATACTGGTAATATATAATTGTCTCAGATTGCTCCCCCACTGCATTCAGAAAACAAAAACCTGATAATCACATCCTTAAACTTAAAACTGAGGAGAATATTGCGTTTCCAAGGCAACAATAGGTTTAAAGAGATACTGCCACTTTAATAATTCAACTAACAACAGGCAGACTTCTCTGATCAGCACCCATTGAAAATAATCAAGCTTACACAGTTAAAAATAATTGCTGTGACATAAAGGGATGAGTACTAAGAATACAAAGTCCATTAAATGAACGTAAGAAAATCATTTTAAAAAGCATTTAAGAGTGTCTTTCATGAGTTGTGTGCAACAGCCGGTACTTCGCTTTTTACAAATGCATGCACTTCAAAATGGTGACAGCTTTAAAATGGATTATCTAAATGGAGCCTGGAGGCTTGTTCTTTTATTTGATCTATTCTAAGCAATATTATCGAGTGATTCAGCCATAATTTTTGTATTCATTGCATTGTATTTTGCATTCATAATTTTTAATTCATGTTTAAAAAAAATCAAAATGCCTTCAAGCCACTAACCATCATACTGGCCTAACCACAAGCAAACAGAACATGTCTTCTAATCTAATCTTGGATTTTTAGCAAAATTGTCATTTTATAACTACTAATTCAGGATTGTGGGAGCTTGACGTGAGGTCTTGCTCCCACCACCATCACAAAATGATTTCCTGATTTTGTCTGATTTCAGGGCAGCACCGATGTTGATTGACTGTGGTTATGTTGACTGCTGTGTCTTTGCTGACCTCTAGAGCTAGTGTTCTTGCTAACGGCTTTCAAAATTCACTCAACGCAGGTTGTTGCGTAATCTCACCCAGTTGATGAGGATGTAGCGAGGCAGGGCTGTGTTGGGCTCCTTCAGGCTGCAGAAACCGTACATGATCCGAGTGTTATCGAAGGTTACTGCAATCTCTGCCAGACCACCATCTGTGAAACACAACAATCACACTGTTTAGAAAGAAAAGTCTGTTTTTGTGTACTAATTGCAAAAAAAATAAATAATAATCTATAGCAGAATATTGCCCATTTTGGCCTGACCACACAGTAATAGCACATCTAATCAAGTCATTTCATAACTACTAATTCAGGATTGCGGGGGCTTATGTGTGGGCTCCATCAGAAAGTTATTTCCTGCCTTTGTAAGATAGTTGTTAGTTAGACCCATTTTATTTAGTTCGTACTCACTGCAAAAGAAATAAATATCAAAGTTAAAACATCCAAAATATCCATAAGATAATAAGTTACATAAGTTTGTTTTCAGGAAATGCATTTTAAAATGTTGACCTTTTTTTAAAGGTCTAACTAAAATACCACTGGAAGAAGAAAAAGGAATTTATTTGATTGAAAAGAAAGAAAAGATATTCTCTAAACGCATAGTACGTTTATATATACACGTTACTATAAACAAAAACTATTTAAAACAAGCATTTACTACTTAATACTGGTGATTGTTAATAATAATAAAAATAAATTACAAAATAATTCTTAATAAAATACAATTCTAATCTGTTGCAAATGCTTCCTTTTTAATCACCATGTGTGCTGGCTACCCATTATACTGATAACCATGACTGATCGGTTAGTTACTGCTTTTCATGAGCGGTATAAATGTGCCAATAGACAGAAATAGATCTCTGGAGAGTGTTTGGTAGACATAAACACACACACACACACACACACACACACACACACACACACACACACACACACACATTATTTGATTGAAAAGAAAGAAAAGATATTCTCTAAACGTATAGTACGTTTATATATACACGTTACTATAAACAAAAACTATTTAAAACAAGCATTTACTACTTAATACTGGTGATTGTGTTTAATAATAAAAAATATTTATATAATGAATATTTAAATCAAAATAACAAAATAATTCTTAATAAAATACAATTCTAATCTGTTGCAAATGCTTCCTTTTTAATCACCATGTGTGCTGGCTACCCATTATACTGATAACCATGACTGATCGGTTAGTTACTGCTTTTCATGAGAGGTATAAATGTGCCAATAGACAGAAATAGATCTCTGGAGAGTGTTTGGTAGACATAAACAAACACACACACACACACACACACACACACACACACACACACACACACACATACACATTCACAGTCTGGTGGAAGTTCTTTCCTGCTCCGGAAAGAGGAAATTACACAAAGCAGTAGACACATAAGCCCACTACCTTCTACCCAAATAAAAAATTTAACTCTGCGTACACTAAACTGATCTAAATAAAATTCCACTCTTGGTCATTTGAAATTGATCATTTGAAATTGCACTTGGATAAATTGGATAATTATGGCTTTGAAATCTGAATGGCTGAGCTATATATACATATATATATATATATATATTATTTTTATTTTTTTATGTTGTCATTTGCTAAATATCTCATTAGTTTGCATGAATGTCCCTGCTCTGCTTGGCATCATTTTCAAATTGTGTTGGTATTTTTAACATCACTAAGATGTAATATTGTTTATGAAAACTGCAGCAAAATGACGATTTTGGACACAAATACTTCAGAAACAAAAAATTCAACCCATACACTGTAAATAAACATTGCGGGAAATCGCTTGCAAACAGACTTTCCGCAACAGATCCAGCTTCTGAATGGGGTCCTCTGTGCTAATCAACACGGCCCTTAATAATAACCTTCCATCAGTCACAGACTAAATGATTGTCATCAGTGAAATGACAGGTTTCTCTCCTCCAGCTCTGAGGGAAATCAGAGACTGTGCAGCTTGATGCATTATAATAGTTGGAAAACTGCTGAGTGACGGTTACCTCTAGTGTTTGGGATCTGTATTTGGATGGCAGGATTACAGTCCATTGAGTTTTATGAATATTTACAGTAGACGTTAGTCTTTGCACAATACTAGTAGTGTTAATATCACATTTAAAGCGTTTGGAGTCTGTCACGATACAATCGCACAGTTGCATTCACTAGCACAATCATGGTACATCAACAATGCAAATGAATGTCATCAGTCACAACCGACAGCGTTATTGCTTGTGCATGACTACATTCTGGTTGGTTATTTTTAGATCGTCTATATTTGGACAGGAAGTATATTGAGATGTAGCCTACCTCCTGATCCAGACAGGATCAAATCATTACTGTCATCTTCATATGTGTATAAGGCCCTGAAGAACAGAGAAAGAGGAATCATCTTAGTAAAGCGACTATTCAATCAAAGACATCAACAATAACATCAATAAATCAAAACAATTCAGATACAAATCAAAAACACTTAAAAACAATTATGAAAGATGTTAAACTATAAATTTTTTATTTAATGACATTCTGTAAGCATGCCCAATGTATTAATACTATATTACTTATAGGTCAATATTAAAATGGATAATTTACACTTTATATTTGTATACCTTATATTCATACTCTATATTTCTATACTTTATATTTTCAATTTATGTTTATTATAATAAATTTAGCAAATCTCAAAATAAATATACATTTTACATATGCAAATTATAATGTTGTGATGCCTAAATTCACATTTAAAATAATTTTTTTTATTTAAAATTTAATTAGATAAAACAAAGTAATTGCCCTTTATCAGTTATTGGCCATAATGTGACCATACTTATTTGTTCCTTCCTAATAATCTCATTAGGAAAAACATAATTCTGGCCATATAAAACAGTAACAGCACAACTCTTCTCAAATAGGCGCATGAATTGAGGCATCACTCGTGTCTGTAGCACAATTGCTTTGGGACAAGTGACATGCCCTGGTTTAATACTTAGGGTTAGGGGTTTGTTCAAAGCAAGTACACAAAACACAATAAAACAAACTAATGAAAAAGTTTTTGATTTCCAGGTCAGTCCCATGCACAAAACTCATCTCCATGGTACTGACAGACTGGAATGCATTCTATCCAGAGGGCCAAAGCAATGCACTCTGGGTCAAGGGTCCTGTTAGCTCGGAGGAGAAAATGGCATTATCCTCTGCCATCTGAGAGCTCTGTGTAGGAGGATAAAATATAGAGCGCTAGTACTTGTTATGCTTCTAATAAAAGTGAAACTACTGCTTTTTCATCCGGTCCCATGCTTACCTGCAAAAGCAAGAATAATTCTGGTAACAACTTCTAAACCGATATCTAGAGATATTAATTAATTGTGTATGCCTAGATAAAACACACCCCATGCAGCGTTTCTAACATGCCAAGGTTTTGATATTTCATTCTTTAAATAATGGAGGTAATCATAAACATATTGTAGTGCACAGCTAATCTCATTCCCCATCACTGCAAAATAATGAGTAGGAGTTTGGTGCTACGCTAGTAAGAACAACAAAGAGAAGAACAGAAGTTCTACTGCCGTAAGCTACAACATGAAGCATGGGAAATGGATGAAAATAGTGTCTCACTGTTTAGATGAACTGATGTACGGTGTTGTGAATATACTCTCCCAAATCTATTTAAAACAGGAACTTTATGATGTAGAAACTGTGTAACCTTAATTGTATAACGTGCACTTGTAGTGTACGTTAAATCTTAAGAGTACGGTTTTTCAAAAAGTGCACTTTGTATTAATGTCAGATTAAAACTTTTACTTTAATCATTATGTTTTACTAGGCCTGGGCGATAAAACGGTATCGATATTTATCGACGGTACACCTTCTTCGATATCGATAGAAAAATTGGTCGATACAGCGCACGATATAGGCACGTGCTCTGAGTGACGCGGACAGCACACACAAGCACGAACACATGCTGAAATGAGTGCTGTACCTGTGATGAGGAGATTGTGAATAAAGAATGAATATTAGTCTAATTTAAAACAAACATTTGCATTTGAATGTTAGGTGTGCATCAGGGAGTGTCATGAGCGGCGCGCGAGATGCAGTAGTGTGAGTGACGTGACATGTGGCCAAGTATGGTGACCCATACTCGGAATTAGTGCTCTGCATTTATCCCATCCAAAGTGTTGACAGCCGGAACACACCCCCGGAGCAGTGGGCAGCCATATTTTTTGCTGCGGTGCCCGGGGAGCAGTTGGGTGTTCGAAGGTGGGAGAGAGCACTGTACATTCACTCCCCCCACCTACAATCCCTGCCGGTACGACCTTTGGTTACGAGTCCGACTCTCAAACCATTAGGCCACGACTTCCCCATGTAAGTGACGTTGTTGCATTTGAATGTTTTGTTAGTCTAGCCCACGAGACGCGCCACTGCTGTATTATTCATTCAAAATATAAGAGAAATATAGAAGCTCATTGCGGAGAAGATCTCGAATGGGTTAAAACCGAAACCAAGCCATTCACACAGAACGCATATTCAGCGCACTTTTTAGACGGACAAATATGACTGCTGCACTCGCGTCTCACACAAGAGATGTAGCCATGCAAAGTTAAAACAGTTTAAACTTTTAGAAAACACGTCACAAATTTGTAGAGGTTTATTCCTTTTCACTGCGTCTCATATGTTTTTAAATGCAGTCTGTGTGAATGCCGCTTCGGCTCTTTGGATTAAAGAATGCATAAATACATGATGCTGTTTTGTTCATAATTGTTTATGCAATTTACAAAATTATATTTGATTTTTATGAGTTAATTTAGATGTAATGCATGTTTTTATAGAGCTACTTCCTTGCGTTGACAATTTAAATGCGCTGCATTATTTTGTTCATTGCGCCCTCCTGTGGCCTCGGGAGACAATTAGACCTATACAATAAAGACCTATTTAATCTGCATATAAAACATTAGAAATTAGATATTTGTTTAATTTGTATTGTGTTTGATTGTTAAAACAAAAATTATTTGTTGTTTGTCTCAATACATTGTTAATTATAAATACAGTGGTTAAATTTAAACACTTTTTTCTATTGCTTTTTGTTTTAATAAAGGTTATAAAAAATGTCAATAATTATCGATACCGAACGATATGAAACATTATATCGTTGATACATTTAAAATATTTTTTAGCTATATCGCCCAGCCCTATGTTTTACTAATCCCTTTTGCTTAATTATGCTAAAGTGTACTTATTTTTATTGGACTTATTTCACACTTATCAGTGTGAAAGTCACCGTTGTGTGGTGTTGCTATTTGGTTACTAAAGAGTTCAAAGTTGTTTTAGCAAATTGCTATTTTGGTTACTAGGGTGTTCTTAGTGTTGCTAGGTGGCTGATTTAGTCTCTATAATATCTTGGTCTAAAACTGTAGAACGTTTAGCATTCACAAGGCTAAAATTGTGTCCAAAGGATGATTTAAACACCAAACTGTAATGGGTCCTGCCAATGGAGTGGGCCGCAAAATCCAAAATGCAGGACTTCCCTCACCCAACACTATTCTCCAGCCTTTATCAGCCATTATATACTGACAGGCTTACAAAGAGACACATATTATAATGCAAACAATCATATGCAAATGATCTAGAGCGCTGGGAGAGAAAAAGATATCTCAAAGCTATGCAATGTTTGGCTGCAGCCACAGGTCAAATTACTGTACAGCTCTTCTGAAATATGAATTATGATGTTACATGTTGATAGTGGTAAAACAAAACTAACAAAAATCTCAACAGAGAAACGGTGTGGTTGAAGGTCAGCAGGGTTGTTTTGGATCTTTTATTTGGGGTCTAACTATTCCTCATTTCACGGTGTGCTAAAATTGCATGTAATTACCATAATTGAGCACCAGCATCCAATGCACATTATGTTAAGTTCTTTTAAAAATAATGTAATATGTATTTTAATTAAATAAATGTGTATTAAAAGTAGTGGTTCAATATATAGTGGTACCATATTACAGATTGTATAAATTCACTGGTGGTGGTTGATAGTGGATATTTAAATGTGCATGCTAATTGACCTTAATTTTACATTTAGATAACATTTGTTATCATCTAAAGCTTACTTAAAGGGATAGTTCACTCAAATAGTTCATTCAGTGTCATCATTAACTCCCATAAAATCTCATTCATTTTCGAAACCCAAATTACACAATTTTAATGAAACCTGAGAGATTTCAGTCCTTCCTGAAAATCCATTCCACCAATACTTTGATGCTTCATAAAGTTTATAAAAAAATACTAACCCCCCCCAAAAAAAATATATATAAAAAAACACTAATAATTCAATAATCCTGCTAAATGTAAAATCTCAAAATGAACATACATTTTTTATGTTGCCATGCCTAAATTCAACTGTCTGATTTACTGATTTAATTCTTAATTTTAGTATTTTATTTTTCATTTATTCACACAAAATAGCATATAATTTTAATATCAATTAAGTCATAAGTTATTTTTTGTCATTTTAATATCAATTAAGTCATAGCAGAAACTAAATTTTGGTCATCAGACAGCATTCTCCAGGAAAAACTCCATATTTACACATTCTGAAGGAAATCTGTAGGTGGTTACCAGAGCATTGCTAGAGGGTTGCTTGGGGGACACCCTAAGCAGAAAACACCTCTGATTTGAAGTGTACTAATGAGTTGAGATTGTGCCTTCACTCTTAGGCCCTGTCCACACGAATGGGGTTATTTTTAAAACCTCAGCTTTTTCTACGCGGTTTGGCCATTCGTCCACATGCAAACGCAGCACCAGTTCACTGAAACCTAACATTTTTGAAAAACGCCTGCCAGGGTAAAGATTTTCAAAAACTCTGGTTGCAGTGTTGTCGTGTAGACAGCGAAACCGTCGGAGCCTGCGCTGTTATCTCCACCTACTGGAAACTTTTTCAGGCTTCTGATTGGCCAACATGGCTTTACGGTTGAGATTATATCGCCACCTGTTGGTTTGGCATGCTCTTGACAGTGCTTCATAGCATGCATTTGCATTTTCATGTGGACGGAGATTTTTTTTTAAACGGAAGAAGGAAAAACTCTGTTTATAAAAATACCCATGTACGTGTGGACATGGCCTTAGGGTGAGTGAATATGGTTCTACTGAGACTTCTACAGGACATTATGTGGGTTCTTTAATATTTATTTTAGTTGTGCATGTGATTGTGGTTTATTACGGATGCCCCGGAATATGGAGGAGCGTAAAAGTATCAAAAATAATGTGGAAAGGAGAATAACACTGGCCCCCAGTGCAAGGTCATGGATTGTGTGTATCCAGTACAGAAAAACTTGAAAGAATCCAATCCATCACATGTGATTACTTGGATCCTGCAATTATTATGTTGATTATAGAGGAGCTGAA